TTTTGTTGTTTTGCTATTTTGCTATTTTGCTATTTTGCTATTTTGCTATTTTGCTACTTTGCTATTTTGCTATTTTACTATTTTGCTACTTTACTATTTCGCTATTTTGCTATTTTACTATTTTACTATTTTGCTATTTTGCTACTTTACTATTTCGCTATTTTGCTATTTTGATACTTTGCTATTTTACTATTTTGCTACTCTGCTATTTTGCTATTTTACTATTTTACTACTCTGCTATTTTGCTATTTTGCTACTTTGTTATTTTAAGTTCATAATTAGAACAGTCGCTGACAATTTTATACCCCTAAAAAGCGTTCCATAATAGGTACCTTCTCCTATATAACAAAACCGTACCTAAATAAGTAAATAAATAAATGTACAAATAAAAAACAAATAAATTCACAAATAAAAAACAAATAAATGTACCCAAAATTGCCAATTATAATGTTCTCTTTGTTACAGTGAGATAATTACCATCGTTTCCAGGTCCCAATGTGTGATCGTGCGTGGGACCGGTCCCGATGTGAGAACTGGGCGTCTCGAAATTATGTCGCCGCCAATCGAAATCATGCTGAGGATCCTGCTCCCACCAACAGAGGTCTGGTTTCTCGAAATCGCATTGCGTCGGAGCCTCGGCGGTGGTATCTGATTGCAAAATAAAAATTGTGTTCTAATTGTCTTCGCAAATCTGCATCCGACGTCATCATTTTGGTAAAAAGTGCATAATAAAAAATATTCAATAAAAAAATAAAAATAATAAAATATTCAATAAAATATACAATTGCATAATTGAATATTTGCAGTTTGGAACAGTAGACGTATTGAAACAATAGAAAAATATCAACGTATTATTTCCGACCGACAATTTCACGATTAATTTAATTATCTTATCTAATGAATCACACACACAGAACAAAATTAAATAAAAATATTACCTCGGCAATTCGGCGTCGTGGTGTTCCAGTTTTTTCCGTCGCAATAAATTTCGGACGGACCGATCAGCGCGTAACCAGGCTCGCAAAAGTACAACAATATCGAGCCGTTATACTTGTTCGCCACTAACGCGTGGTCCGGCGTGGGTGGCGCGGCGCATTCGGCGTCTGTCGAAACAATGAAACGGGTCGCGTCGTTAAACTGTTATAACTCGTTCGATTCTCGATAATTTAACATCGTTAATTATTGATTACTTCCGCAACATATTGGAGATCGTTCGAATTCGAATCAAATTGAAACCTGTCTTGCACGTAATGTTACGCGCACCCTGTTAATTAAGTCAACGAATGCGGTGAATACTTTAATTAACACTCCAATACTTCGATATATAATTGATCACTTCGAATAATTATTTCGTATCGTCCGTTCGGTTTGGTAAAAGCTTCGTGGAACAATGTGAAACAATACGTTTAATGTGATACTATAATGAGGTCGTATTATTGTTGGTATTGTTATCATTATAAATTTATTTACAATGATAATTTTTATATATATTATATTATTATATTATATATATATTATATTATTATATTATATATATATATATATATATTATATTATTATATTATATATATATATATATATATATATTCATTTTTATTATCATTATAATTAACTTACGAATAGAGGATGATCGTAAATATCTGTACAAAATTATTAATTCTTAATAATAATTGTTAAGAATAAAGTTGCTATAACTATCATCATGATTAACTTACGAACACGATGACCATAAATATCTGTGCAAAACAATGAATCGCAGTCACACTTGCGTACCTTTAAGATGAAAAGTAAGTACTTATAAGATCGAGAGTCCAGCTCGAACGAATCAAGAAAATCATTGTATCGCCGAAACAATTAGCGCGACCGTGGTCGAAGAACGTTTTAATCGGCGTGCGTGTGTCGTTACGGTTTTATCAAATACGATTAGAGAAACTCGTGCTTACTGACGCATACTGGCGTAGGTGTATCCCACTGGTTCCGAATACAAGTGGAATACTTGTTACCTACGAGAGTGAAGCCCTCGTAACAACTGAACCTGATGATTCGTCCCCTGGTCCTCACTCGAACCTTCCCGTTCTGCAGCCTCACCACAGGGCATCCATCTTGAAACGCAAAAAACATCGCATTAACAAAATATATAATGATTATATATATAATCATATAGTTAATATATTTATTATATAATAGTATATATATATAATGTAATAATATGTGTAGTTATATTATAGTTACATTAAATTATATATACAATATATAGTTGTATAGTTATATAGTTACATAGTTATATAATTATGTAGTTATATAGTTATATAGTTATATAATTATGCAGTTATATAGTTCTGTAGTAATATAGTTATATAATTATATAGTTACACAGTTATATAATTATGTAGTTATATAGTTATATAGTTATATAATTATGCAGTTATATAGTTCTGTAGTAATATAGTTATATAATTATATAGTTACACAGTTATATAATTATGTAGTTATATAGTTATATAGTTATATAATTATGCAGTTATATAGTTCTGTAGTAATATAGTTATATAATTATATAGTTACACAGTTATATAATTATGTAGTTATATAGTTATATAGTTATATAATTATGCAGTTATATAGTTCTGTAGTAATATAGTTATATAATTATATAGTTACACAGTTATATAATTATGTAGTTATATAGTTATATAGTTACACAGTTATATAATTATGTAGTTATGTAGTTATATAGTTACACAGTCATATAATTATGTAGTTATATAGTTACATAGTTATATATTTATATAATTATGTAGTTATATAGTTATATACTTATAGTTAATATATAATATATAAATATATATTAGTTAAATATAAATCTATAATATATAAAATATACATAAATATACATATATTAAACATATACATGATTGAAACGGAACAACAATTAGATTCGCTGAAAGCCGAGTGGAAAAGTCGGGTTGCCTGACGCGTCACGATTGCATTTTCAGCGCGATTGCGCTTTTATCGCGCTGATAAAAATTGGAGAAGGAATTCCGCGAAAATATCGCCGCGTTTCCCATCGAGACGCGAAGGCAACCGTAATCGGTTTAACGATCAAAGCCTTAACTGTTCCCCGCCGACAGCTGTTCAATCGCGAAACCGTTCGAGCCGATCACCGAAGCTCGAAGAAAGCGCGGTTTCAATGAACGGAAACCGTTCCTCTTCGATTTCTACAACGGAGAAGAAGTTCGCGGAAAAGAGCACGGGGCATCGTTCATTCTAGACTTCATTCATGCGTCGCGATTTCCGCGGGTTTCCCGCCGATGCTTCGCGGAATTAGTTGCGGAAAGTGTCGTCCGGCAGTTTCCATTCGTCTCGCGTTTCACGCAATTTTTTTCCTCGTACACGCTTCGTTTCCGCCGCGCCTCTGCGCTCTTTTCCTGCGCGCCTGTGTCTCTGGAAGTCCGCTATGGAAAACGGACTTGCAAGAATGCAAAAATGCGGAGATTACCGTCGGATGACCGTGATCAATGATGATAGAATATTAAAGCAACTGACTACAAATTGCTGCAGCAACGGAATGAAAATGACACTGCGTTATATAGAGTAAATTCTCCCTGATTTTCCTTCAGCTTTTGTAAGCAAAAGTGGACAATTTGGGAAGAGGAGACGCGATTATTCGAGCCTCGTGGATCATTTTTATAATTGTCTATAATAATTAATATTAAAATATTATTGTATTATATATTAATATTTATATAGATAATATACTATATTATACTATATTACATTTATTATATAATAATATACTATATTATACTATATTATATTTATTTTATATTTATTATTATATATTATATTATATTATATTCTACTATATTATATATAATTATATTTATAATATAACATTATATATAATATTATACATCAATATAAAACAAAATAATTAATAATTACAACGACAAAGTGCAAGGCTCAAATAATCGTACCACCCCAAATAATCCATTTTCGTCTACAATCGCAAAAAGAAGAATTCGGGAGAACTTACAGCAGCCGTTTCCACGATAAACCCGCGAAGATCCCCTGTCTATCGATCGCGATCGTCTACGGCGTTCTCTCGCGTCTTCCTTAAAGCAACCCCGCGTCGTCGGATTAGAACGTGATCGGCGATATTCTAGCGGCTCGGAACGGAGAATCCTCGATGAGCCGGGGAGGATCAACGAGCGATCTCCCGCGAATTAACTTTGTCGCTTACTTTGGGGCCAGGGAGTGGCGGCGGCCTGCGCGAAGAAGGCCAGCAGGAGGATCGATACTGCGAAAGAGGTGTTCATCCTGATGAGGACTCGCCGGTTAGAGAGGTGTTCACGGTTACGAATTGTCCACTGCTGCGCACATAGTCCGTCGACGAAGCCGGAGATTGATGCGTTCCTCGGCCGCGAGTTTCGAACATCCGCACGCGTGTCGCCGCCCGAGATGAGGTCGCGAACGGTTGAAAGGGCGCACTGGTCGTCGAGACGGCCGAACGGCGGCGAAGAAGATGACCGATGGGAAGGCTCTCGGGGGGCCCGGCGGAACCGACGAGGAGCCGACGAGGAGCCGACGACGGGGAATAAAAAGTAAAACCGTGCTGGCTGCCGTTCCGCATTTATGAATGGGCCAGGGATGTGTTTCGGGGTTATTCCGCTTGAAACGAAGGCGGGAACATCGCTTCCGGCGTCGCGGTCCGCCCGCGATAGCATTCTATCTACTTCCGGCCGCGGTTATCGTTGTCGAGCATTGCCAGGCCTTGAGGAGAATTCCTGTAAATTATTGCATTCTGCACCAGAGATAAATGGATCCCGCGGGAGCTGCGAGTTGATAGGCAGGCGCCACGATTCTTTCCTAGACGAACACGATGCGTTCGCCGATTTTTCCTCGACGGCTGAAATGGTATTTTTTAACTGGTTCCGCTGTAACACGGCTCGGCGACGTTGTGCTCGGGAAATTTTCATTTTGTAGGCGCCAGAGAGCTGAAGGAGTTTGCTGTAAATCGAAGCGAAGACTGATTAGAATGCTAATAAGATAGAAGTAGAAATTAGCATTGGGCTCAAGTTTCAATTTTTTATTATTTTTATCATTGCTATTGTTACTATTATTATTTATTTTTTAGTATTTACTTATTTATTTTTATTATTACTATTATTAATATTTATTTATCATTTATTTACTATTATTGTTGCTGTTTTTATTTATTTATAGGTATTGTGCATATATATATATAAATGTATATATATTATTGTTACTATTATTATTTATTTTTTATTATTTACTTATTTATTTTTATTATTACTATTATTAATATTTATTTATCATTTATTCGCTATTATTGTTGTTGTTGTTATTTATTTATAAGTATTGTGCATATATAAGTATATATATATATATATATATAAATGTATATTATTGTTATTTATTTATAAGTCAACC